TCTTCAAGATGGTGTCAATACACATATAAAGTATAAATCAGAAACCTCTCACCTTTCTCCGAGACACACACCATATTTCACACATGACATTTGACTAGATTGCAAAAGAGTGACTGACACTTGTTGTCGACACTTGAGATTGATTTGCATCACGTCTTGTCCTGTCTGGACTTTGCAATGCATATTTTATGGTTGCTTCTACCAACAGTGTCACACACACGCACGCACGCACGCACGCACGCACACACGCACACACGCACACACACACACACACACACGTGTTATTTTTCTCTCTTTATGAGTTAAAAAAATGCGTAATTGTTAAATTGAAGGTGGGGTAGGTAATTTTGGAGAAACCAGCTCGAGTGCGCTAGAATTTGAAAATACACAGCCGGAAAAAATCTGCCACTTCCTGACAGAGCCCCCTCCTCCAACACACACGAACGCGCACATGAACAATGAGGGCACGAGATGGAAGGCTGACAGGCAGGTAGGCCATCCAGTTATTTTAGCCGGGCCGGCTCAGATGATTGGTAGTGCTTTTTACAGCGCCACGGCTTCCACAGATGACATTTTTTTATGAATTTTGTGTCAAAGTACTTAACATATTCATTGCTATCGGGATGTTAAGAGCATTCCATGGAATATAACAAAAAGTGTATCTCGAGCCGGTTTCTCAAACTTACCTACCCAACCTTTAAGTTTGGAAGTTACATTTTTGTATTATATTATACAAAAATGTAACTTTAATATACAAAAATATTTCAGTAAGTGAATTTGTTACAGTTTAATGTTTGAGATGCTTTTGGTCGTTTGTTTCTATGAAAGCTCCCTTGGGTCCTCACAACTTTTCATTCTTGTCTTTAGCTCTCATTCTCTGTGGTTCATTTTCTACTCATCTCTGTCTTGCTTTACTCTCTCATATCTATTTCACCACTCTGTGATTTGATCAATCTCCATTCCTTGTCAACTTTTCTTAGATTTCTTACTCGATATAAGCAGTTACTGAGAAGCATTCAGCAAAACAGATGCACTGCTTTCCCAAGTAATTCAAATTCAAGCTACTCTTTATTGCACTGTGGCAAATAATTGATGAAACGGCTTTTTGCATCCACCCAGGCCAATACCCTTTGGTATGAAAGTACTACTGCTAGATGGAGTACACGTGGGGTCTTATATAAACTGACACTAGTATCCACTTGATGGGCTTAAATCATTTCTTTTTGAATATTTAGTTTTTCTTATCAATTAAAATACATTGATCTGAAACCTCTCAAAGCTTTATTCCATAGAAAATGTCTCCTTATCATAAATGCAGCAGTTTCAGGTTATTCGTCTATAGATAACACCAACTTAATTGTTTTCTGTGCTTTAGGTAGAGTAATCTTTTTCATCCTTGTTTAAAGGGACATTTGGTTTACTTTATTGCAGCTTTTAAACATATTTTTAGTCTTGGATATAATTTCTATATCTTGTATTCAGTTTTCTTCACGATAACCTCTGGAATCTGGAAACCAAAAGATAAATGTTTTCAAAAATTCAAAGAGAGAAGGCTTTATCTTCTGGAGACCAAGAATGTCTGTCAAAATAATCATGACTGGCCACTGTTTTTTATTTCTAGGTCAAACTCAAAGGGAGTAATCCTGAAACTACAGTGAGTTTAGTCTGCGACAGGTAATGCAGAAAGTCACTCTCAAATCTGTGACGAAACTGCAGTCCGTTTAAGTAATTATTTTACAGGGGTCTTTGTTTACTTCCGCAAATACGTTTGTCTCAATTAATCCTCCCTGACTTTAGAGGGTCTTCTGGGGAATTGTACAGGTCACCTTTTCGAGGGCTATAAGACAGAGAGCTGCAACATAATTTGTACTCCCATATCATGGCAGGATGCTTTTATGGAAATGTCCTTGATTTGTATGTTAGTTTATTCCCTCTCATGTTTTGGATCTCCCTTAGTGTGTAGCCTATATAGTGATAACATACTCTCCTACATGTGGTGCATATGGAACACCAGATGCAAGTGAATTCATGATTATCGTTATGGGTTAATCCTGTTTTCTGTATCTGACACACAGGATTTTGACAGATAAGATGTGAGTTTGTGTGTCCGTGTGTGTGTGTCCGTGTGTGTGTGTGTGTGTGTGTGTGTGTGTGTGTGTGTTGTGTGTGTGTGAGTGTGTGTGTCCATGTGTATGTGTGTCCATGTGTATGTGTGTAAGTATAGGGCTGTGATGATGAGGATGATGCACCCTATCCCCATTAGTGTTAGCCTAGATCTGTCAGCGCCTTGTTGGGTTACTGCCTGGCAAAATGTCAACCCTGAGGAACAATGGGATGGGCCAAACACGCACACACACACACACACACACACACACACACACACACACACACACACACACACACACACACACACACACACACACACACACACACACACACACCCGGCAGTACCTGGAAGTTCTCCAACAGTCAGAAAACTCTGTCAATCTCACATCCTCATAAGCACGAACACACTTTGATCCTCAGCCCCTGTGATTCAGACAGGAAGCGTTACGGTCTGGTTTGTTGTTGTCTTTATTGTACCTTACTTTTTGATCGACATCATATCTCACACTACCTCAAACTGCATTTCCTGTCGCCCCCTGTCTCAACTCTGTCAGACAGTAATGGAGACAGCCCAGTTTGCCGACGACTGTTTATTCCTGTTTCCAACTCGACGGGTGTTGTTTCTGTGACCCGCGCTCACTAAAGACCATAAACCCAGAGAAGTGATTATGCAGCGCTGGTTTCCGCTCATTATACTAGTGTTTGTCGCAGTGAAGATCAGTAGAGTCACCTAGATCAGTGCCGTGCTGAAGCACATGGTGTGTTCATCATTCAACTAATTTAACTGCATGCCCAATTTGTATTTCAAATGAAATCACTTCCTAACACCTTTCTTGTTTACTCCGAGGATGATTTGTCACCCTGTAGAACTACTTTGATGTGCATCTTCTTTACATTGCGTCTCACTTCATAACAACACTTTAATAAGTTGTTTTATTACCTGCCGTGTCCTCGCAGCGCTCCCTCTACCGTATCTAAACTCAACACTGTCCTACATTCTCCTTGTGATATGACACTGCTGCGGTTTGGTGGCGTTGACGAGAGATAGCATTCCCCCTCTGCGCTCTCCTTCATTGACTTTTAACGTTGCTTCCAATTAATATCTCTGTCATTAATTTGCAGTGACACATGGCCTCCCTCCACCCACACAACCAGCCAGCCAGTTAGCTTCAAGCCTCAAAGCGCTGTTTGGTCTCTGAGCACCAAACTGCTGGGAGGAGAGCTTTAAATGAGTGTACGCACATGTTGTTCTAATATCTTTCTGCACAGATCTCTTTCTTTGTGGTTTTTCCTCGTTCTTTCTTAGTTCCCTGCTGCCCTCCTAGATGGTGTTCACAGTTCTCTGTTATTATCAACATTTAGCAAGACAGCGCTGAGTGCACTTTAGTCGGCTACACGACTTCTCATTCTGTTACCTAGAAAACACATGTTATGGCTATTTTCTCAATGATGGGTGTGATAAAGTGTCTCTCCATTACTCCCGCTCATGGGGGTGAATTATTCTTCAGCTTTCATTTGTGATGGGGTGATGATAATGATGACAGCAGGCAGCGCAGTGATGGTTGCCCTTAGTTTCTTAATTCTTTCTGCAGAACTTACTTCAATCCATAGTTAGTCAAATCTGCGGTCTTTTCAGATTGGAGAGATACATCACAAAAGGCTCCCAGGTGAACCTTAATGGAATCCACATGAAGATAAATTGCTAAATTGCACAGCATGAAAACAGATGAAAGACACTTAAAGTTATTGAAGCAGTGTTCACAATGATTTTTTTCAGGTCCAAGCTTCACAAGACAAGAGGTTCCTTATTCCTATATTTCAGTCAGTCAATATCAGTTTTTTCTTCACACAATTATCGTGGCATTCATAAGTGACAATAATATGTTCAAGATAACTATGAAACATTTGAAAAGAATAAAATAATGCTATTTGTCTAAATAATTTAAATGTTACTAATTGGGGAGGGGGACGAAGCGATAATGAAAACAAATAGAAAGGATTTAATGGTGGATTATATTCTCATAGTTGTATTACTAATGTGATTTCAATGTTTAAAGTTTTACATGTTACATTTATCAATCTCGGTCTATCATAACGCTATTTTTCTGTTCACTCTTTTGAAATACATCTTGCTATATTTCAATCAATCAATCAATGTTTATTTATATAGCCCAAAATCACAAATGTTTGTCTGTCCTTAGACCCTCACATCGTACAAGGAAACATTTCCGGGAAAACCCCACAGTTTAAAGGGGATAATATTTGAATGATAAAGATACATTATTTAATCATATCTGGGGTTTTTTCACTTTATTTAGGCCTTAATTTAAAGGATTGGGAAGCAAAGAAATACAGAATTGGTGAGAGTACCTGTTTTACACTTTTTTAAACCTGACATACTTACAGCAGATATAATGGACTTTTCTTTGATGATTGAAGTCAGATGCCCAACATCCACATAAGTGGGTTACATACATGCTTTGAAAAAGTTACTGCATGTGTTTATTTAGATATCAGTGTTGAAACGTGTTGTCCATCTTTCTACATGTGATGCATCAGTCCGCTTCTTTTTAAATAAAGCCGAACAGAATGGAGAAAGAGAGATGGGTTTCCTACCATGAGATTGTGGACAGTGGCTTTGCCTTCAGTGTATTTTTAAACACTCTTAAGGAATAAGACTTAGAGGATTGTAAGTACTGGCCAGAGAGCAGTAATAATTAATGAAGGTTTATATAGAAAGCTCAAGAAAGCCAACTGAAGATGCCTTGGTCATTACTCTTATGCTTGTGCTCTTATTGCTGCTTTTCATCCTCTTCTCCGTCGTCCTTGTACTTCTCTGACCTTTCTTTTTCTTATTTGTTCAGTTACTGGCACAGTCTTATTCCTGTCTAACCCTACCTCTCTTTCTCTTCATCTCTTTCAGGTTCAAGAAAATGTCTTTGTGGATTTTAACCACCAGGAGCTGGTTGACTTCTACAATAAGGTCTGTTATTTGTGTGTGTGATCGAGTGTGTGTAAGAATGTGTTCTGTCAGCGCCTATCTTCCATGTTGCATTTCATCCTGATTGACAGACATTGCCTGACAAAATCCATCTGCCTTCCTGTCTAACTCATTCTTTTAATGGCCTATTTCTGTTTTTTCTTGACTCCCCATGAATGTGTGTGCGTGTTTGTGTGTGTCTCTTTTGTGTACTTCTTTTTAAGCATACACTCAACATTTTCTCCTCTCTCTTTCAGCTTGAAATCGTGCAAGGCCAGTTGGATTCCCTGACTTGATGCCTGATGCTCTTGTAGACAAACACGCACACGCACACGCACGCGCACACACACACACACACACACACACACACACACACACACACACACACACACACACACACACACAGAGAGTCAGTGTTTTTGCTGACAGCTAGGCCAGCTGTTAGAGGCCTAGCAATTCCATTCGGGGTCTGATTTATTAGTGAACAATGTCAAACTTTGAAGGAAGTTTCCCTTTGAGCTTCTTTCATTCCAGGTTTGTGCTCTTAATTTAAAGAGGCCATTACATCTGCCTGTACTTCTAATTTGTATGTCTTCATCAAGGAGATTGTGGAAAGATTACCCTTGTCAATATAAAGTGAACTGCAACACATTTCTTGGTAACTTAGTTTATATCCAGCCAGGACTCAATTAATGTTTGATTTCCCTTAAATACAGTAACAATGAGATTAAAAACAAAATGCCAAATGTCAATGATTTTACCGTATGAAAAAAGGCAGTTATAAAGAAATTGTATGGATTTTGTATCTAGGAAAAGGAAGTAATGTTGATGCTATTCTAATAAAATGTGGGGAGGTGAAATTCTTCCAAGCTGTTGTTATTTAGTGAAGGCTCATTATTTCTCATTAAGACCAACCTGGACTGCTGGTTCAACAGATGGGAGTTCTGGGACGCACATCGGACCTGCAGTGTGTGTGTGTGTGTGTGTGTGTGTGTGTGTGTGTGTGTGTGTGTGTGTGTGTGTGTGTGTGTGTGTGTGTGTGTGTGTGTGTGTGTGTGTGTTAAGATGGGTGCATGTATATGTCCTTGTTAATGCATCTGTCCTTGTCTATGTGTCTGTGTGTGTGAGACAGTGAATAGTTCCTCTTTCAATCCAAACTTTAGACGTTCCCAGGTCCCAGGTGTTCTCGTCCTGAGCAGATTTCTTAACAAAACACTAAGTAGGTTCGTTTTTTTACCCTTTTTTCAAAATAAAAAAGTGACTTTTGAAAAATGTGACAGTGTTATTTGAAAACAAATTTTCAATCTCAAATATCCAGTCATTCCCCTTCCTGCTTATGCCTAAAGTAGGTCTACTTACTTAAGGTGTTTATAGCTCAAAACTTACCTTGGTACACACTTTTCAGCTTTATTCTAAACACTTAATTTAGCCCAAAAGTTAGATAATTCAATGCAAGCTAGATTGCAAACATTCTGGTTATCAATAAACACTTCTAAACGTACATACTCTTTGTTCATCTATTAGTGAGTTATTAATAGAGCAAGTTTGTACCATGCACCATATCATTCCATACATTTTGGATTTGTATTGCCAGAATATTTCTGTCTATGAAACCATGGTTCCCTGCAGGGATTAGCGGATAACCTTCTTTGGTTTTGGAAAGAGTTGCTTCCCCAATTGATGAAGCAACTCCAAATGTTGTTCATTAGCGAGGGTAACATCAGCAGGTGGTCAGTTTGGTGCAGTGTTGGAGGATGCAGGTGTCTCACAGGCTTTTTGTGATGAAGTGGAAGCTGATCCTCAATGTACCCGTCAGTTCATTGTCTTTCTGATCCGCGCCTGTGCAGAATACAGTCAGGGTTAGTCATTCATAGAATGAGATCATGGGTAAAGCTGGTAATACTTGAAATGAGCCAGTCGAGGTGGTTTGGGGATATAGACTTTTTATTTGGTGGTATTCTTGACACATATAGGAACAGAGAACAAGAAATGATTATGTCCTCCAGGAGAAACCTGAGGTCATAGAGAGGGACAGTAAGGCTTATTTTCTTAGACTACTCTCACTGGTTTACAGATGAATCTTTATTTTCTTGTTTAATATCTGTACTTTATCGCGATTGTTTACACATTATTATTGAGTCATCAGAATCATTGCAGAAAACGTTCCCATAAGGTTCTGTTGCTTTAAATGTCAAACCTTGTTGGTTGACAAGCTGTGATAATTAGCATTTGGAGAGGACATAAAACCTAAATACAGACTAAACCAAAGAACAGATTCACTCCCACTTCCACCTTGCCTTGTAAAAATAAATGGATTCACTTACTTTACTATGGGAACCTCACTTACATCTGCCACCCTCGATGATACTAATAATATCTAATAGTAGTATTTCACAACAAGAAAAAGACAATCAGCATTTTCTGCTACAATATGATGAGTAAACCTTGAGATATTAGTACCACACAAGATCTCCAAAACAAAAATGACTCAGTGTGTGTGACATAACCGTCTCAAAAAAAGATCGAGGCCTCATCCTGAACCACTTATGTCCTGAGTGCTGTTCTTTTTACTCTTACCGACAATTTTTGCCACTATGCGAAAACACCTGCAGTAAAAGGGAGCGCCGTGTTCCACAGCATGCAGAACAGATGGCAAGGCCAAGCAGGGATGGCGGCTTAGAAAAAAAAAAAAGAAGAGAAAAAGGAGACTAGCTCACTGAGATCCGGCAGAAGAGTGTGTGTCTGAGTGTTTGTATGTCTGGTGACTTACATCTCTGCGTGCACTTGTCAATGCTCTGATGTGTGTGATGAGGCAAGTTAAGTTTGGCTGGACTTCTCACAAACATACTGGCAGAGTGGCTAGTCAAAGGTCGCTGGGCTTTTCTAGCTTTATTAAGTGTCTAATTGGACTTGCCTCAGTGTGGCTGCATTCCTTCAGCACTGACAGAGCTCGGCCACGGATGTCAGACACTGAAAGCTGACTATAGGATGCACAAAAGCAAGCTAAAAGTACAACCGTTGTTTTCCACCATCGATAACAGTTTTTATTAACCCCTGCAAGGTCTCATGAATTATTTTGGATTCGGAAGCTTAAAAAAAGGGTACCTGTCTTAACACCTTTAGATAAGCCAAACAGAAACCCAAGTGCGGTCAGAGGCAATAGAACATAGTTTTTCTTTGATACATGCATGGTCACACTGGGCAGAAAATGGGAAATTCAAAGCTCGTCGTGACAGTGTTTTGGGGTTATGCAGGGGCCAGTTTTGTTTGAGGCGAAATGGACACAAATGAGAAATTGACTGAACTTCCTATTCAGCTGAACAGGGTTACATAAAATTGCATATGTAAAAACACCGCACAAGAAATTGAGTCAATTCCATTGAAGTGCTTTTTTTAAAATGTTTTAATGTTGCTGGTGTGTCGGACCCTGAGAACAAAGCCCAGTAATCTAAGCATGCTAAAATATCTTTATTGTCAAGCAGGCTTCCCTCATTACCAAATGTATGGTGAGAGTTCACTTTCACACTAGTTTCGCAGGCAGCCCAGGGATATAAAGAGCCACCAAAATATATTTTGTGACCCATTTCCGCTTTTTTTCTTTTTAATCTGTAACCGACCGAGAGAAGAGTGCCATCCACAATCGATTTCCGAGTGCCCTAGGGTCTCTGCTGGCTGCGTGCAATGAGCTCCTGTACTACAGTATAAAACAGTAAATTAAGCTTACACCTTTCTCCATCTGTTTCTGGTCCAATTCACACTGTCAAACTCAGTTCAGAATAAAACTAGTTTAAACAAGCGCTGGACGTAAGGTTAAAAGCTCAGTGGCTAATTATTTACAACTAACTTGTTGAATCATGATTGTTTCTGTGGCCTTTGTGCTCTTTTAATAGTGTTTAAGCAAGAAAGTATCATTTTAAAAGTTGACATATCACAGCTGAGTTAACAATGGCACTCTCCTTCACAAATGAAGGATAATAACTACTGACGCGGTCACTGACAATGGAAGACTTTAGGTCCATGAAGTGAACATCTATCTGTAACTGTTCTGGCATTTCAGATTGAATTATGAACTCATAGAAAAAGCTTTTATATAATCTGGTTTCATAACTGTGGATGCAGCCTCCTGCCATTGAGCAAAATGTTGGCAAAAGTCTGCATTTGTGAGCGCATCCATCAGTGATTGGGAAGACAATGTGTTTGTGGAGAATAGACAACGTACCAAAAATGTGAGTGTCTCTTTTAAAAGAAAATGACCAGCTAAGATTCACAAAAGTAGTATTAAGCTGCACAGATAGCACCAGTCTGCTTTTATAAAGGATAACCCTTCACAATGGACAAGCTAGCAAAGAGCAGCTAATAAAAAGTGAACAATAGCGGAGCTGGAGTCCCGATAAATCTGTGATGTGTCAAGAACAATCTGCTTTGCATGCCATTGTCTCTTACGTGTGCCTGGTATTAAAATATGTATTACTGTGCTCTGTAGCAGAAAATGGTGCTTTAATAGGATACTATCTGAGTGAAAATGTGACCAACCGAGTCAACCTCTGTCAGAATTTCCCACATTTATAAAACTCTCAGTCGGTTAACAGGCAGGTTTGACTGTGAATAACCAGATAAAGGTAATAGTTCATTTAAAACATGGTTGTGGTTTAGAGGTTCCCAGGAAAACCAATTTCCCCAGTATCCCCAGTTAATATGAATGTTTGACAGTTGAGTTTAAAAGGATGCGTGGTAGCCTAGAGTGAACTGTATAGAAACAGTGCTTTGCATCTTTCCACGTATATGTAGAACCACTAAAGAGATATCAGGAGTATTCTGTATTCCTTCCAATGTAATTCAAAAGAAAGACATTTGAAGCTTGTTGTTAATCAGGTTGAATCTGATACGAACTTATATTAAACTAAAATAAACTGGTAATTTGTGTTGTAACTCCTACAGAATCTTTTTGCTAAACTTTTTAAATCGGATAACCACAGTATATTACTTTTGGCAACCAGCTCTGTCCAAAGACGAACTACAATGGTAGTGAAGTAATTGGAGTACTACTCAACTTTATGATACTATTTAACAGTTATAAAGTTCATGAAGGCTCATTGTTTTTATTTTAAATGTGAAAATCAACATCCAATAACAATATGTCTGAATACATTTGCACTTCAACTTCTGTTGTTGTATCAATGAATTGATAGTGTTGTCATTGGGACAGCGTTGGCCTGCTTTTCCAATACTTCATTAGAAATATACACTCGCTCGTTGGTTTTTTGAGGTTGAGAGTTTTTCATGAAATATTTTCACTTTCTATTTTTACTTTACTCTTCATTCACTCTTGAATTCTCTGTTGTTAACTTAGGCTTCTTTCCCTCTGATCTACACCCTGTCTTTAGAGTGCCAGCCATACAGTACAATTTGCACTAAGGTGTGTTCATGCACTTACAGTAAAAACATTTCCCCTGTTTTTGTAGTGGCTAACATGGTCACATCAATCCTCGGGCTTACATCTCTCTGCACCATTGTTTATTCCCAGCAGAATAGTCGCATCAACTATTCAGTGCAGCTCTCGACTTGTTTTCCTTCCAAATTGACCATTCCGCTATCAGCCCAAATAACCCACCTGTGGCCAGTCCCCACAAAAACAAACGTTTCCCAAATGATCAGTTTCCCTTTCTAATCCAATTGTATTTCAGCTGTGCGTTTTTGTCTTTTTTTCACCCTGTTATTATCCTTTGCTAGGGCACGGCAGAAGTTATACCCTGCATGTGTATATAGAGGTTGCTGACTTGAATGGAATTTCCTTTCATTTTCTTGATGAACAGGGACACCTTGCTAGTCCATGAAACTTGTCTTATTTTCCCACAGCCTTATGATCCATCCTTGC